ATTTTTCATGGGTTCGGTTGGCATTCCTTAGAGGGGATTTAGAAGGTGAACCTTCCAAATACGACAAATTCCTATTATGTCATACCTACCCATCCCAGCTGGTCGTCCTTAGCCAGTCCAATCTCTACAAGGAACTGGCATATGTTCTTGCGCTGGTCACCCTGTAGCTGAATGACTTCTCCATATTCCGGATGCTCAATTACAGTACCATTGCAGGCAAATTTCTATAGACACAAAGAAAGAAAAACATTAGATGAACAGTAACATTTGTGCATTTAACAACCCCTTTTGGAAAACGAAGAAGCCCTAGTGATGCAATAGTTAAGTGCTAACAAAGATGTGGTAGTGTGCCTTGTCCTAAGGACCAGAGCCTCAGAGACTCTATGAGGTAGCTAGAAGTCTGAATCCATGGGAGGTTAACAGGTGCCTGCACCCCTGGCAATATAGTGAGTAAAATAACACGGCAATCTTTCCATAAACTAATTAAGACCTACCTTCTTAAACGCCTTCACTAGTTTCTTTTTATCGTAATCATCAGCGATCCCTTGGACAGTAGTAAGGGTCTTCCTGCCGTTTCTCTGTTGAATTCTTATATGGATATAATCCTCAGTCCCAGCAGGAAGCAGGTCATCACCCTTACTTGCATCAGCAAAGGGGTCTGGAAGAAAAAACAAGTTGCTTTAGAGTCGTTGTGGCTCAGATGTGTGCCACCCTCTTACTGGATCTTTCACAAGTGCAGAACCTAATATTGAAATCTCAGGTCTTGGATCAGATTAGGTGTCCTCTGTTGGCTCCCCGTGAGCAGGTCAGTCAGGGACTGTCGGCTCTCCCAGCCCGAGAAAGCCTGACTTCGGCTCCCAGCTCCGCCCTTGGCAGATGATCACGTGTCGGGGCAGCCCAGGCTGGTAAGCCGTGCCCCACCCCGGGGGATATGCAATCAGCCGGAACACCAGCTCCCGAGGCGAGGCTGAGCTTCTCTACCCAATTGGTGCGTGCGTTTGCCACTCAGGACTGGCACCGCCTTTCCCTCCCAGCTCCGTGACAACAGCAGGTGACGTAACGGACGTGACGCAGGGGTGGAGGGAGTAGGCGGGTGTGGCTCCGAGAGGCCCAGAAGCCATTAATAAATGCGCCACCGAGACACTAGGCCTGCCCATGGGTTGGCAGCCTGTACTCTCCTTCCGGTCGTGATCCGGGGCCAAGACCATGACCCAGGCCTCGGCCTCAAACCCGGACATCTTCTCTTAGACAAATTTATGGAAGCACGGAAATCTGGCAGCTTTCCAGGTCGTCTGCAGGCCCCGATCGCCCCATTCTCCCACCCGAGCCTGTGACTTACCGAAAGAGTGGAGGTTCTGAATAGCGGACATACGATACGATTCCTTTTCCTCGGTGGAAACGGCCTGCGGAAGTCGGCGGCGGGAGAAGGCGGGCAGGGGGGACGGAACGTCGGGAAGCGAGGGGGCTCGAGGGGGAGGCTGCTGAGTCCTCGGCGGCGGCTCAGTGACTGGGGCCGAGGGGCGGAGCCTGTATTAACTTATATAGCCGCCCCTGTGACGCCAGCGCGCTGCCCTCACGTCAAGCCCCACCCACGGCGTAATGCCCCAAGAGCCTAGGCGCCGCCGCTTCCAATTGGTCCGAGGCCGTACTTGCTAGAGGGAGCTTGCGCAATAGCTCTGTGCTGCGGAAGGGCGTCCTTTGGACTCGCCAAGAGATGGAGGAGGGAGGGAAGGGGCGTCTGTTTTGGCGCCTGCGTGGTGCGGGTGGAAGGCATCTGGGCGGCTGAGAAAAACTGATGGGTTTTGGACGCGCGTGCGCACCAAGTCCTTTGACTCGTTCTATCCCTTTTACCCTGTTGCAGCCTTACCTGCTGCGTAAGGGATTTGATTTTTCATGGGTTCGGTTGGCATTCCTTAGAGGGGATTTAGAAGGTGAACCTTCCAAATACGACAAATTCCTATTATGTCATACCTACCCATCCAATCACTCACCTATTCTCTCTCTCCTTTGCAGAAAGATTTAGTGCGGCATTTTGATGGTGTAATCAACATAATAGTATCAAAACCTTAATATGGTCTTGAACACGACAAAGGAAAGAGTTGCCAAGTCTATTAGCATAAATGGTTCAAGGGAGACTGACTCTGGTTCCGGGAACCCAGAAGAACTCAGGCACCAGAGGGTGTCTTTGCGTCACACAAATTGTGTGTGGGAGAGTCTTCCCAGGATAGATGAAATCGTTCCTTTAAAAGTTAACCTCTTTTAATCTTTCAGTTTACTTATTGAAGCATTTAAAAAAAAGTTGTTGTTTTTTTGTTCCTCTCAGGTGCAGGGATAAATTGGTGAAGGAGTCCAGGGTTTTGGACTCAAAGGCCTCCAGGGGCCAGGCAGGTAAGATACAGGAGTGAAGACAGCCAAGTGTGATGTCATGGGGTGGGGTGGGGCTGGGGAAGGCTAGCGAACTAGAGTTTGCAGCAGTTACTCAGCTCCAACGCCTTTTGCTAGATCAGTTTTAAGAGAACCTGGTCGTTTATATAAAGTGTCTTGATTTTAAATATGAAAACAAATTGAATATTTGGAAAAATACTGTGCAAACCAAACAAACAAAAAGGATGCTATGTTGGCTTCCACAACCCTCTGCCAGTTAGGTCACTGCTCTTAGGGAAGTGGGAGAGAGGGGGGCCATAAACCAATGACGCATGGTGATAGGTGCCAAGAAAGAGATAAACAGGATGATGTGAGAGGTGACAGGGCCAGGGGCCTCCTTCCCATGGGGTGGTTAGAGAAGACCTTTGAGGAGGTGACCTCCAGCTGACACTTAGAGGGTGTGAAGGAGTCAGCTGTGTGGCAGGGCAAGAGCAAGCTGGACAGAGGAGATCCCAGATGGGAGAAGCTAGAGATACTTAAGAGTTTGTTTTGATTCTGTGATTTCTAAGTTGTTTTTGATTAATGATCTGCTTTCCTTGACACCACGAAGTGGGAACCATGGCTAGAGGTAATGTGCACCCCAGTGTCTCAGTCTTCCCAGTCTGAGAAGCTGAGGACCCAATCCTGTAACCCATGGGTAACCACCACCCTCATGGTTCTGCCCTTTACCCAGGAACCTTCACACTCACAGGCATGACGCTGCTTGAAAGGGGTTTGAGGAGAGAGAGTGAATGGAAAAGGTCCTTTCTTGGTCATGCTAAAGAAATCTGTTTCTTGCCCCAGTTTATGAAAATATTCTGTTAGAAATTTCAAAGCTTTGGTTTTCTTGTTTAGGTCTTTATTGAATACCTAGACTTTATCTATGTGTGTGGTGTGAGGCAGGCATCTAATATTTTTTTCTATATGTCTGCATTGTTGTTGTTAAGTGCCGTCGAGTTGATTCCGACCCATAGCAACCCTGAATAGGGTTTCCAAGGAGCAGCTGGTGAGCTTGAACCACTGACCTTGCAGTTCAAATGATTTTGCAGTCGGACGCATTAGCCCACAGCGCCACAATTGTTTGTGTACCATCTATTAAATAATACATCCTTTCACCATGGCTTGGTCATGCCTTTTCTGTCAGAATCATATTTTCATATACCTATGAGTTTGTTTCTGGATTTGATTTTGTTCCACTGGCCTGTCTTTCCCTTTTAATTGTTATTTACCATTGAGGTGGCTCTGATTGATTCATGTGACCTCAGTACAGCTGGACAAAGCATTGGTCCTGCACAGTCAGGTGATTGTTGGATGTTTGAATCCATGGTGTAGCCATTGTGTTAATCCATCTCATTGAGGGTCTCTCCCATTTTTGCTGTCTGTCCACTTTATCAAACATCATGTTATTCTGTACTAGTTGGACTTTCTAGATGACTGAATCGGACAATATCTGTGATCCAGGGTTGTTGTTTTTTTAAAAATGTTTTATTGTGAATTATGTGATAGTTTACATGGGAGAACATTAGCCTTACATTCATTCTATTGTATATCATTTCATTGCCATGGTTACAATTCCCTCCATGCATCATCAACCAACCTGCAAACCTGCCCCCAGTCATCAGCACACAGCCCCTCTCCCTCTCTGGGTCTAGAGTCCCCAGCTGCTCCATCTCTCCACCACATCATCATCTCTGCCTCCATCTCTGACAGTCACTGTTTCTCTGGGTAGGGTCCCACACTCTTCTGTTCTCCCTTGGTGGTCCCAAGGATCTCTGCTCCTGGACTGCAAAGTTAATCACTCCCTTCCTTTTGCTACAAAATTTCTACCTTTACATTTCCAACCCTCAGTCAGTCCTGATAACAATTATTCACTATTGTACCACAAGAGACCTATCTGCATCTCCTTTCATCAGCCCTGCCCAGACGGACTGGATACTACACAGTGGAGATTCTACCTTCCTTCATGCCCTCTGGATCTATGCTTCCTCTTGAAAGCTTATAAGCCAGTCCCTTCTTGCCTTTGTAGCCCCCTGCCCCCATTTTGGGTAGCCAATGTCCAAGTTGCCCGTCCCTGTCTACTCTGTGTATGGAGGCGGTGTGATTCAGGGTTTTTATTGGCTAATTTTCCAGGACTCCTGGTGTGTCGCTATAGGATCAGCACTGCACTGTGAACCACAAGGTCAGCAGTTCAAACCCACTGGCTGCTCCTTGGAAACCCAACATAGGGTCACTATGAATTGGAACCGACTCCACAGCACTTCACAACAACAACAACAACAAATTTTAAAAATAGATCGTTCAATTTTCCTTCCTAGTCTTAGTCTTGGAGCCCTGCTTAAGCCTGTCCACCACAGATGTCTACCAAAGGTGGCCCTGCTGGTATTTGAAATGCCAATGGCATAGCTCTCAGCATTATAGCAACACATACCCATTGGAGCATGACAAACTGATATACCAGTATAGGGTCTCTAAGGAGGGTCTGGTGAACTTGAACTGCTGACCTTGCCGTTTAAACCGATTTTATAGCCTAGTGCATTTATCTGCAGCACCACACCAGGACTCCTGATATGGCTTTTAATTGTAGGAACTTTATAAAAATTATTGATGTCTTATAAGAATGTGTCCTTCCACTTTGTTGTTTAAAATCATTTTGGCTATTCTTGCTCCTACTTCTCTTTCAGCCTTGCGGCGTATCTCTTCTCCCCAGTTCTGCACCTCTGCCATTCTCGGAAACTCCTCAAACTTTCTTGTCTTAGGGCCTTTCACATACTTGGTACCTTCCTGTCTCCTCTTCTCTCTCTCTCTCT